GGGAGTCGGCCATTTTAAGGGCTGTCTCAATTGCGAAATCCTTCCAGTGCACTGGAACGTTCGCTCCCTGAAAAATCCCACAATGCACCGCAAACACTAGGGAACTACCAGTGCCCGAATTCGTGTACACGATCTACTCAGTAGTATACTAAAAAACTTTTAGTCCATCTTTTCAAATCTTCTATTGCGTAACATTATATTTATCGAGTTGGCTCGTGTGGTTTATGTTTCACGCTTCAGAAATGTGACGTTATTTCCGGTAAGGGAGCATAGTGAGCGCCGATGCTCCCTAGTGTTTGCGGTGCATTGTGGGATTTTTCAGGGAGCGAACGTTCCAGTGCACTGGCTGAGATAAAATTTATAAAAACTACATGGTATTAAATAATAATAATAATGACAAAAACACAAAAATTATTCTAAAATTTTACCTTAAAAATAAAGTGAAAACGGAAAATATACAATATATATATATATATGTATAGGAAAAAAAAACGGATTAAAAATATTAACTAAAACTACAAAAGCATTTGTGACCCTCGATCACAAAAAAAATTAAGTGTCAATTTTTCGAAATTGAGATTTATACATCATCTGAAATCTGAATAAAGAAGCTTTCCATTGATGTATGGTTTGTTAGGATAGGACAATATTTGGCTGAGATACAACTATTTGTAAGTACACGTTCCGGAAACAGCATGGAGCTCCTCAGGACTCGGAGAGGGCACAGTTATTTTTTACATTTCATTCTATTGTTACATACAATTCTATTGTTATTTAACCAATAATAAATAAACAAATAACACATTCTGAGCTTGTGTAGTTTGCTGGGGTTGTCACTTTGGAACTTGTTTTGAAATACATGTTTGAGACCAGTATACAGTACAAAACCACTGATGGAGTGAAAACATGTTTGTTTTTATAAACCTTGTAGTTGCTCAGAGGACAGCTAGCCCCGCTGTATTCTATATACAATGCCTGAGTGGTATTTTATGGTACAGTGTCCAAAAACTATGGAAGCTAATATATATATTAAAAAAAGCTATTATAAAAGCTAATATATGCATTTAATATATTATTTCATTTATATAATAATTGTATTGCTACGTTGTTAATTACAAAGATCTTGTTTATGTAAAAACTGAAACCAAGCCGTTCACACAGAACGCATATTTCACGCATTTTCTAGAGGGACATTTGTAGTTGCTCAGAGGACAGCTAGCCCCGCTGTATTCTATATACAATGCCTGAGTGGTATTTTATGGTACAGTGTCCAAAAACTATGGAAGCTAATATATATATTAAAAAAAGCTATTATAAAAGCTAATATATGCATTTAATATATTATTTCATTTATATAATAATTGTATTTTTTATTATATGTATTACTATTACTGTTTATTTGCCTGCTTATTTATTAAACTCGATAACAGAATCTTGTTATTTCAGCCCTAATATATTGTAGTTATATACAACTATAACTAAACCATACAAAAACATTACTTTTCATACTTAAAATAAAATCTAAAAAACATGTAACTTATTTTATTTAAGGTAGATGCAAAGGCAACATTTCTCATTTTCATTTAGTTTAACTTGAAGTACTAAAATAACTAATACTGAGATAAAATTTATAAAAACTATATGGTATTAAATAATAATAATAATGACAAAAACACAAAAATTATTCTAAAATTTTACCTTAAAAATAAAGTGAAAACGGAAAATATACAATATATATACCCAGCGACTTAAGACTGCTTTTGTGCTCCAGGGTCACATATCAGTCATACTAAAACAACACTGGATCTGAGTTACATGCTGTATTTAATTTTTCACCAAAGCCGGTTTCTATGGTAATTTAGTCTCTGGTTGTGATATGCAGTGTTATGCGGTCAAATGCGTCTCCTGGCAGGTGTGCGATGTGATTGGTCGGTCTCTGGTGGTGGATTCTGGGGAGGATGATTTGGGGCGTGGGAATCACCCGCTGTCCAGAATAACAGGAAACTCTGGAGAGAGATGAAGGACATTCTTATCCAGACAAAAACATTAGATAGATAGGCTGCTTCTTGTAGAGTGTTTGTGTGTGTAATACAAACAGACTGAGCTGTTTAACATCATCCAGTGCTCTTGGTATGTGTTCCTGCAGAAATCCCAGTCCATCCAGAGCTCTGTCCCTGCTGTTTGATGTCCTTCAGTGGACCGTGTGTGTTTGCTTAACGTCCGCTGTCTCTCGCTGCTTTCTCAGGCTGGCCTGTGCAATCATCGCCTGCTCCGCCAGCTTGCTTCAAAACCCCAAACAGATCTGTGCCTGTGATGGTGTGACTCTGTGGGAGGAGAGAGATCGGCCCGTCGCTGGGAAAAGACGTAAAGTCACCGACGCACCGACTGCTAATCTGTAATGGGGTGAGGATGAGAGACCTTCCCACGGGTCAGGGACTGCAGATGGACATGAATGAAGGATAAGAGACCAAAAACGTGCCTGTCGTGAATGTACTGAACGAGATTCTGAGCCACGTTTTGATGTATCCACAGAAATCAAACCATGTGTAAATATGTACATGGATGGTGTGAAATTTATCTCCAATTATCACAGTGATTCTGTCATACTTTAGTATGTCTGATTTTACATACTGCTGCTTTAAGTTCAAAATCAAAATGTTAATTTAGGGGGGAAAAAACCTAAGAGTTATTATTATACCATGACTGATTAAAGCAATAAACCCCGTGAAGCCGTGGTTTACAGTGAATTTATAACAGTTAAGGGGCGTTGTTACGACGCGAAACGGAGTCTAAAACCCCCTTAGCTGTTATAAATTCACTGTAAACCACGGCTTCACGGGGCTTACTGCTTTTATAAAACGGTTATTCCATATACGTAGTAAGGTTTCACAAAATAAAACAGAGCAAATAAAGTGTAATGATATTAATAAAAACAGTATTCTTCCACCAAACAATGTAGTTCCTCAGAATCAGTTGTGGTTGCAACAAAGTGGTTGCCGAGCAACACACAGAAATAAACAAAGGTGTGTGTTTGTAGAGTAATTTACAACAGCGTCGAACGTGGCTCAGCCAATCAGAATCAAGCACCGGAACTACCCGCTTTATAATAAAGTTTTATAAATGTTCTAAAATCTTAAAATATCTAAAACAACCTGTAAATCTGGCCTCACGTCATTAAAAATAGTTTATTTTAAGTGGGTGCCCTGCAGCACGATTGATTCCTCAAATCATCTTTGAAGGAAGATATTTATAAAAACAAGTGCAGCAGTGATCTGAATGCCTGAGTTTGTTCAGAGGAGGTTCACGTTCAGGGTCCACCAGAGCCGCAAACCACCGTCAAACACCAACAAACATTTAACTCTGACTACAGAGTAAATACATGGTAAGAATGCAGTGAATCAGATTTACAAGCACACATCTGGATCAGAGTCAGTGCAGAAGGGCTTCATGTTCAATCTTACAACAATATGAAGAGGCAGAATAACAGAAAGCTGTGCATTAGAGGAGAAAAAGACAGACGGTTCTGACCGTGCTGAATGTCCTTCATGTCGAGATGTAAACTGGACATCAGGATCCCCACGGCCTGAGAACGCTTGGTGTTCAGCAGCTTCACCACCTACAACACACACACATACGCACAGACAGACACACACACACACACACACACACACACACGCGCACAGACAGACACACACACACACA